GATAGAGGTGCTAAAACTCTATATTTTGACTGGAAAAAATGGGGGTTCATCTTATACGCCGGGTCGTCTTATACGCCGGAAAATACGGTAGTTCTCTCCTGGATTCATCTATGTCACTGTCCTTTTCTCTAACATTACATCCACCTTTTTCCCATTTTCTTTTTTCTCCACACAATGGTGTCTTTCAGTGATGACCATGAAGAACCATGGTCCCCAATATACACAACAGCTGGTTGCCCCGCCTTGATAATCTGCAGAATTAATACCCACACATACAATGGGCAATCTAATTCTGCTCTGTAGTCTCTCCTCACCCATCATTCCTATGGGTCTTCGATATTCCTAGCAATTCAACATTATTTCATCTAAGTGAAATGAAAGAGCACTGTGCATGCCTTACTGGCAGGTTGCAAACTCCTTGAAAATTCTTTAAGGCAAGGAGGAATGTGGAATATTTTTTACCCTGAAATCAAATTGTAGTTTGGGGATGGTAACCAGATGCTATGTTCTATCAGTGACCAGGGTTAGGTTCTTGAGGCAGAGATTATACAAAATGGATGGGGGCAATCTGGAGATTTTCTCACTAGCTCTCAGTTCTATGCATGTTTACTTATAAGCAAATCCCAGTGCAATGGCTTTCAAGCATGCAAACCAGAGCTCTATTCTATTTAAAACCTCCTCAGTATGAACACTATAACTTTTACCAAACCTTCCTGGGTTCCTCTTATCTCCACTCAGTTATTAGAGATGAGAAAAGAATCAACAAATCAGCAAGATGGGGAATGCTTTCTCCAGCTACATCTGGCCTTAGGTCCAAGGTTCGCCATCCATGTTTTAAAGGATTATAATGATGGTAAAGCATACAAATGTATGTACCTTCCTAAAAGGATAAAGATGGAGGCTGTGGGTACCTTTCAATATGGTTATACTAGATACACTCAGAAAGCTGGGATTGGCCTTTCCATCTAATTGACTATATATACTAAGTAATGTATAGGGCTTAACTAAATAGCACAATGTGAACTGAGGACTCCTGAGTCTATATTTGCCTGACTTTGCTAACTGGGTGTGGGACATTTGCAGGAGGGTAGTAGTTATACCATCAGAGTAGAATTTAGGAGATGGATCAGCTTTATGCTCACTGGGTGACTTTGGGCCAGTCACTCTTTCACCCCATCCTACTTCACAGGAATAAACTGTGGGGAGGGAGAAAATTTATGTGCAGCCTTGAGATCCTTGGGGGGGGGGAGTGGGAATACAAATATAAGTACATTTTTAAAATAATATTTTCAACTCTGTTTTAGAATTCTTTCCTTACATTTTTAACCAAATAGTGTTAACAAATCAGAAATAAAAAATAACCTGAAATACATTCCTTCAAACAGATATTCAAGGCTCAGCACAACCAATCTCTTCATATCTTGTCAAGCCTTTGATTTTTGTTCAAGAGTAGATTATTTAAGACACTAATCTTTGTGAATTCTTATTTTCCCGCAAGAAAGCAAGGGGGTGGGGGGAAGCCACAGTATGATTCTTGTTCAATTGTTACATCTGAGAAAGAACTTTGGAGGATATTATGTTCTCCATGAACTTGATCTTTTAGCTATGGTGAAAATTCTCTTAAAGCTATAATTTTAAAGTTAAATGATGAGAGGTTTCATTTGCTTTCCAAGCAGAGAGAAAACCTTTTTCAAATAGACTCCTGCTGCCATGACCTTGGTCTCTGACTTAGAGTTCACCACATGCAATAATTTACCTTACCCCATGGGACTCGCTGAGAATTCTTTTCTGAAAAGGTTTTACATTTGGAGGCATCACTGGATCTAAAAATATAATATTCTTTATACTGAGTAACATCCTTTGAGTCTTGAATACTAATTCATACTAAGGGTTACAATATTTAAATGTGTTAAGACTAAATTATAAGTAAGAGCCCACAAATAGAGGGCTTTCTTTAAAGATCTATTGTTTTGTGAAGATACTTCACTCCCCTTTAGTGTGGAACAGGGGTGAGCAAAGTGCAGCCTTCAAGTCACACAATGTCCCTAAAAGCCATTTTTAAATTCCCCAAGAGCCGCACCATGTTTTTTTAAATAAAATAAAATAAAATAAAATGCCCCCTATGGCCTTGGGGAGGGGCAAAATTGCCCTCCAAAGTTGTTTTAGGCCCTGGATTATTATTATTATTTTTCAAAAACAAAAAACAAAAAACATTGGAAGTGATTTTCATTTCACTCCCTGGTTTGGAAAGAGGTCTATCCTGAATCTTCGACAGTCCTGGTGGAAACACAGCAATATTGTCCAATGGCCCGTAGAGGTTGCAGGGGGTATTCTAAGCAAGCAAGGACATAGTCTTCCAAGTTTGGGTGACAGGAGCATGCAGCCTCAGAACTTTGAGTACTTACCCACCTCTGGCAAAGAATTACAGTTGCCCCTCTACATTTGCGGATTTGACTTTTACGGGTTTGATTATTCATGGATTGTACTGGTATGTTATCTCTAAGAATATCTAGGTCCTCCAGTGCAACTCTATGGTCAGCTTTAACCAAATGTTGCACTGAAGGGCCTAGAGATTCCTAGAGAGAACAATGCACTAGGCATCTGTAGCTCCTCCAGCGCAATTCTATGGTCAATGTCTGGCAGATATTGACCACAGAGTTGCACTGGGAGATCCTGAAATTCCTAGAGTGATGTTCTCTCAGGTAAAAACATAGTGTTTTTGTTATCTGCAGTTTTTCCACGTTCAAGGGGGACCTGTGCCCCTAACCCTAGCAAATGTGGAAGGACCACTGTACTATTAAAAAAAATTAGGAAGTAATTTCTTCACCAAAAAAGAAAGGGAGTTGTAGAAAATGAACATGGTAGAGATAAATTTATCTTCTGTGAGAGCTAGGCTTGAATGAGACACAGCACAGCCCAATGCTGTTCCTCTAACAACATTTTTGGCACAGTGAAATAAGTTCTATTATTCAGACTTGTTAAAGCCTGTGTGGCAGTCTACAAGACAACGGGTTGGGAGATACAATCAGAGTTGGAAGACACAACAAGGGACATCCAATCCAACCCCCTGCCATGCAGGTACACAAAAACAAACAAAGCACCCCCAACAGATGGCCATCCAGCCTCTCTTTAAAAACCTCCAAAGAAGGAGACTCCACCACACTCTGAGCAAGTGTGTTCCACTGTTGAACACCTCATACTATCAGGAACTTCTTCCTAATGTTGAGCTTTTTTCCTCTAGTTTGAATCCGTTGTTCTGTAACCTATTCTCTGGAGCAGCAGAAAACAAGCCTGCTCCATCCATCCCCAATATGACATCCCTTCAAATACTTAAACAGGGCTATCATATCACCTCTCAATCTTCTCTTCTCCAGGCTAAACAAACCCAGCTCTCTAAGTCATTCCTCATAAGGCAGGGTTTCCAGACATATGTAGAGGAAGAAATCAGTTCTCTGGCACACATAGGCCTCGTTCCCACTATGATTTAAAATGAATTGCTGATCGGGTTATATGTCTGTCGTTCCCACTTGAAATCGGTTCCAAACTGACTGCACTCGGTTTCAGTCAAGATGAAGCGATGCAAATGCAAAAGAACCGCTCTTTCCTGACACTAGTTTTTTGGTGGTTCTTTTGGAAAGAAGCGATTAGCAAGACTGTTCAGCAAGTGGGAACAAAGGATCTGAATTGCATCAAACTGAAGGGGAGGGAATACTGTGGCAAAAGGTTGGCACATCCCTCACCAGTTTTTGGGGAAATCTGCCATTTCCCCCCCCCTCCCTTTTCCTAGGATTCATCCTATATTCCAACCTTCTGTCCAGGAGGAATTCTAAAACACCCTCCATTCTGAGCTTGACTAGGAAGCATGTCTTCCAAGTCCTGCAAGGCTGCAAGGGCACCACTTCAACTCCCTATGTCCTCCATATGGCACCCATGGCTGAGGCATCCCAGGGGAGAGTCTTCCATATGACACCCA